CGTTGGGGGCCGTCGGGGGCGGTCCGGAGCCTGTTAAAGCTAACTGGGGCATTGGGGAAGACGAGTGGCTGCTGAGTCGGCGCCCGGAGTGTCATGAGGAAGAGAGTGAGAGGGAAAGTGAGTGGGGTGGTGGCGAAAGGCGTGAGGCGAGGGGTGAGAGTGGGAGGTGGGCGGCCAAGGGGCGTGGGCGCGAGCGCGAGCAGGTGAATACGAATGGAGCGCGAAGCGAGGCGCCGCGCGGGGGCGGATGGCGCAGGGGCGATCGGGGCGAGGGCAGAGAGCGGGGGCGGCGATAAAGCAGCTCCAGTTCCACGGCACGTTTCAGGAAGCTCGGCAGTGATATCGGGAAACTTAGCAGCGCTCGAAAGACTACAGAGATACTCTGAAGTTCAACGACGAGTTCCATTTCTTGGTTATTTCTCTTATATACTGAACTAACATTGTAAAACAAGATCTACAAGTAATATAAATATAATGATAGTAATAATAATAAAGTTTGGGTTTAAAGTTTTTGCAAATAACATTTAAGGGTAGGTACTTCAAAAAATAAAAAGTTAAGAATACGAAGAATTAGGAGAGGCAGTCAGTCATTCATGAAAAGCAGTTATTGTCGTTGAAAGTTATTGCTAATTTTACCTAAGAGAATAGAAGCTACAAACACGATTAACAACTTATACCATCTCTACAGGAGTAAGATACAAAATTGCCTGTTTTTTATAAACTTCTCGGTAAATTCTAACGGTTCTTCTCATAAAAGAGACAGAACGAGCCAAACAGCAATCTGAACGTTACGTGTCAGTACACAGATGTAAGGAAGACAATAAATGTATTTAGCACTTTCCATCGCATATACACCTCTTTAGGTGACTAAAGGAGGCGAATACCGCTAGAATCTCTACCGCGGTTGACGGTCAACAAAGGCTGTATGAGGGACAACGAGATAAATTACGATATCCAGGACAATGATGTGGGTCTTCATACAAAATTCTACAGAGATACATAAGTGTTGATTAATACTTTCTTTCTTGAAACATTAGGCTACATCGATTCGCTTCATTGGGTGTGTACGTCTCGTTGCTACGATCATACGTACTATTAAAACGTGCGTTTTCGGTGTACTATTAAAAAGTACACAAATCAAATAAATGAGAAAATTGCAATAAAATAATCAGACACGTTTGGCTTTAAGAGAACTCTTCGACTTTAAAGTCTCCGGAGCGATATACCAACTGCAGCCCTTCTCTCCCGGTGCCCCGTCAGCACCAGGGCTTCTAACTCCCATATAACGTGATGGGGACCATTACAGTGGCGCGCTCTAGAGTATCACCTTCTTACACGAAATAAAATACGAATTGCTACCAACGTTATTTAAAACGCCCGTGGGTTCTCGGGACGCAAACACACGCGCTTTATACAAAAGATCGCGCCGTTGTTCGCGCTACCTTTTCTTTCGTGCGTGTATTATTATGAATAAATGAATTTTAGAAGATAAACACATAGTATTTTACTTCTTTTGTAGTTTATTTCAGAAATCGCTCGTAATCATATGTGTATTCGTATTTCTTGACACCAATTTTTATGTGCGAAAGTTGGCGAGCCTTACCAGCAGCTGTATCCGGCGACACTAGCGCATCCCATAGTAGCAACCTCTAGCTTTGTCCCCAATTGTGATGGAGAGTTGCCGGACTCAGTCCACGGGCTGCGCGGGGTTAGTGACCTCGCGACCAAAATGGCTTCTCGGAACCCTTCACCTCGCGCGCTCCCGCGCCTCGCAGCGGCGGCGCAACAAACCGCACGGCACGGGGGGACGCGCGAAAGCGGCACCGCCGCAGCCCGACAAAAGAGTGGCGACCGCCGCCGCGCCCCCTCCCCCCCCACTCTCTTCCTTTTTTCCTCTGTCCCCGGTCGCAATAAACTGCGCCTTAACAATATTTGCGCAGGTCTCCTTCACAATGCTGCAGATACCATTTAATTGCCTGGCTTGTTGTCGTTGTTATTGCTGTTTTTGTGCCGCGCGCCGCGCAGGGCCGGGGGTTGGGTGTCGAGGGAGGGGGGGGAGGCCGGAGACAGCGACGCAACGCGACGCCACGCGACGCCACGCGGCGCGTGTTCCCGGCGACTTCCTACTCAGCGCTCCTGGCGGTAAAAAATTAACATTACACTGCGGCGCAGGGGTTGGGACAGGGGCACCAATTACGCGTTACACCAACACCGCGAATTCGAGTGCCACACGGATGGTGCAGCAACTGCTAACTGCTGTTAGTCCCGTATGTGTAGTGCATGCGCAAGATCCGTGGCCCGTTTGTTAGCGTACCGCTTCGAAATTCGCCTGATGTTACTTGGGGAGACCCCGAAATATTACCCATCAGAGTAGCCAGCCGTTGTAATTCTGCTGCAGACAGCGGCTGTATTCGATTTTGTCGACTAGCTAATGCAGAAAACCCCGCTTCCGTCGTAACTACAAACCTAATTTTTTTCCTGGTCGGAGGCACTGCAGTGACGTCAATTGATGCCTTGAGCGTCCGAAGCCGGTTTAGGCCTTGGATAAGCTCCATGCTGATAAGGATGAAGTATGTGCTATGTTGTGCGTCTACAGTCTACTACAGTAGGTTTTGGGATCTGAACCTCTATTCACATGAAAACGACCAAGTCTCCAGAATACAATAATGGACGTTTCTAGCCGAGATGGGCCAACGGGCTACCTCGGAGGCGACACTTGGGGTGAGTAGGAGCGACCTGAGTTACACTTCTTCCAGTCGAGTGGAGTTGGATGCAAAGTCACGCTGAAAATTTTCAGGGTGTCACTTGGGTAACAGTCGGGTCATCTAAAGAAATCCGGGTCCCGGGTACAAAGGATCGGCAAATCCAAAACGTAGAAACGAAAGAACGACAGAAAAAAGAGACAACAATAAAATTATAAAGTATAAAGTCGAACACTCCCACCAGCCGGTCACCACCCCAGCCGGAACAAACTCTTAGCTCCTGCCGGGTCTCCCGGCATGTGTGGTAGTGCAGTGTGTGTGTGTGAGTGTGTGTGTTTGTGCAAGGGGTGAGAATAGGACAAGGAAGAGGAAGGTGAGACCGCGCGCATTGCGTGTCCCGTTCGTTAGGGTACTGCTCCGGCATTCGTTTGGTGAGCGACGGTGGAGAAAACGGTAATGGCGTGGGCGGGTGCACGGGAAGGTGGGAGTGGAAACGGTCCTCATGACGCAACTCGCAGGCATGTGTTTCGGGAATGTCACGCAGGAGATGAAGGTCTCTCGTGGATGGATTCCTCCCCTCCACATG